GCCCCCTATTCAGGGTACACCAACCTAGGAGCGTCTGAGGATGAATGAAGTGATCGTGTGGAGAAGGGAGGAGCTCAGGCCTTTCTTGGGGATGCGACCCCATCCCTCTATCTTCAGCTTTCTCTCTTAGGTGTGTCTGACAGCCCTCAGCCCAGTAGGCCTGGTTCTATTTCCTGGAGAATAAGTCTCCAGGCTTCTTCCAGAGTGGTAGAGGGGTGATGGGGGAGATTCCCCCACCCATCCCTAATCCCACTAGATGAGCACAAAGGAAAAAGGACGGTCTAGGAATGTAGCTGTTTCATAAAATTCTGTATTCTTAACTAAGCCCCAGCTCTTCCACTCCAGTGGGGTCACCTTGCTTCTCCCTGGCGTTTCCTCTGTGCAGCAGACGTCCCTGCCCGGCCCTAGCGGGCTGTGAGAGGCACCTGCTTCTTGCCTTCCCTAACTCGGCTGTACTGTTTTATATCAGGAGTTAGACCGAAGCACTACATGACTCAGATGGCCCGTGAGCCGGCAGAGTCTGGCCAATATGGCTCCTCTGCTAATGGCTGTCACCCAGGCCTAAGCCCTGCTGTGAAGGGGCAGGGCCCTGCTGAGCTACTGCAGCTGAGGTCAGTGTCCCCAGAGTCACTGCCGTGACCTCCACACCCGGAAGTGTGCTATGCCAATCTGTGCATCACTCAAGCAAGCAAACTGGCAATGAAGCTTACTTAACACGCTTGAGTTATACACGTATGTATAATTATGCTCTACTGATTTAAAAAATCATTTAAAACATAATAGCGAGTTAAAGCAAATTATAACCACAAAGCTGAACCCTTTATAAAGGTGCTTCCCTGGTTAAGCAGGAAAATTTCATGCTTGATTCTCTGTTGGAAAATTACCAAGAATAGCAGGTGTGGTGAAAAATGATTCCAGAACTTTCCAAGAACTGAAAACCACCAACACCAATAGTGTTGTAGAGACAAGAAATATTTCCTTTGCCTTCTGATAAAAACAGACGTGGAAAAAAGTAGCATTTATTCAGGTAGCACAGACCACACGGCCAATTGTCAACACTGTCTGTCTCAGGATACAGAAGAGGAGGAGAGATGAGGCTGCAGCAGGACTTTTGAGAACCTGCCTCTTCTTGCCACCCAGTGGAAGCTCAGCCTAGATGGGGGCTCCCTGGCAGCTATACTGTAGGCTGAGGTCAAGCTCAGGGCTGAGATGTTTCTGCCAAGCTTCTTCCTTGGCTCACAGCCGTTAGAGAATGAACTGAAATTCAATGTATATCTGATTGATGAATGTCTTCTTTTATGCCATGCTTGCTCCTTGAGGATTTCTTAAGATGCAAACAACCCAGCCTCCTTTTTCATTAAAATAAAGTTTTATTAGAACAAACAAAAACATGCCATACATAATCAAAATGATAGTCTAATAGGCCAAATCGTCTATGTGCGCTGATAGCGAAGTCCTGACATCAGGATTCTATTTCAAAACTTGGACACCCGCTTATTCCTGGAACGTGGTTTCATCAAAGTCTGTAATCTGTCTCCTTCAACTAGATAGCGCCAACCATTTGGTCTGGCAGCTCTGATGGGAGATGCTGCCACATTCAGACTGTAGAAGTTCCAAGCCGCAATTGCGAGGGCCTGCTTTGGCTCTCTTTGCTTTTATTAAAGAGTGGCTCCCATGCAGTACTGCACACAGGGGGTCTTGGCCAGCATTAGAAAGGGAGTGAGGAGCACGAAAAAAGGAGAATAGGATAAAAGCAGTGAAGTTCACTCACACACCAGGGAAAAGAGACACCAAGGATTCGGGAAAATGGTCATCCGGGCTGATGGGGAAACGTTAGGGCACATGGTATGTCTCTTGATGTGCAGGGCACTCTTGTCTTCTACCCCAGTTTTGGGTCAAGGAGACCCACTCAATTATCTGAACACAGGTAAGTGAAATCCCAGCCACTGTTCATTTGCGTGGGTGATCACAGAATAAGCAAACTCTGGCTTTGTCTAGTTCTAAAAGTAGGACGAAAAAAAGAATAAAAGCCTCAAAATAAAAAGGGGCAGAGGGTGGAGCTCAGTCACAGAGCAGTTGATTAGCAAGCTTGAGGCTCTGGGTTCAATCCCCAGTAAAACCTAAAGAGACTGGAAAGGGAGACTATTAGCCTTTCGGGAAAAGGCTGAAAACCTCATCAGAGCCTTTTTAATGCATCAGAAACTACTTCACGAGTGGGGTTTTTTTCATGAATGCTTCTAATCATATACAAAATGAGAGAATGTTGCTTGTACATAGGAACAAAACACAGGGGTCCCTAAAATCTCTAAAATCAAACCATAAAATCAGCCTGTAATACTAAATAAAATATATGAGAGAGGCGATTTAGAAGAAAAAAATTCTTAGACCACAGAAGGAAAAACCGTCAACTCACTATAAATAGTCTATTGATCAGAAGGGAGGAGGGTCATCTTGGAGGAGAGCAAACAGAACACTTGGAAAAATCAGAAGATCGGTGGTGTGGAGGCTGGGACTTCGGCCTGCCTATGCCCCAAGGAGGGCACATCAGGCCCTGGTACTCACCACCCGCTCAGCTTTGACTCCTCTCTCCCAAACAGACTTCACATGGCCCGTTGTCATTCTGGGAGGTTTCCCCAACAGATGGGGAATTGTGTGCCTGCACAAGTACAAACTTGGCAGCTCTGCTCCTCACTGAAACTGAAAATGGCATCTGGCTTATGCAGCAAGCCTCTCTGAACTCGGATAACTCCCATCCATCTGGAGATTGTGGAGGATTCAAGTGAGTGCCACACCCTGCTGGTAGCCATGTACTGACTTGCCTCTCTTCCACTACCAGCCCTCCCTGGTCACAGCTGTGCCTTGTCCTACTTTAAATAGCTATAAAATGCCAGATTCCTTCAGTGCCCCCAGATATTGTTTAATGTGCACCTGTTTATATGCCTCATAATAAATACACTTATGTGGGAGGTCTTATTTAACACGGGGCTTACTGTAAACCTCACATTAATTTTGCCTTATTTCAGTTTTGCCACCAATTTACGTCTTATGCAGGAGAATCAATAATTATCAATGAGCCTTGCTTTATCCTTTATAGGTGGGCTACACTGCAAAAGAATTCTGTATATTCTCAGTGCAAAGAGAAAATTGCCATTACTGATAAATATGTATGAGACCAAACAGATATTTTCATAAAAATTTTGAACGCAGAATCTTTGTTCATAAAAAAAATTTAGAGATAATAATCAGTGACAATTCTGCATAAATCCAAAGCATGAGGCATTTTTAATTGACGGATTGGTTATATTGCTGCTGAGGTCCTTCAGTGACTTTTGGCACTAGAAGAATTTAAGATTAGCTAGCACTTTGAAAACTGGTAAATCGAAGGGTAGGAACTCAGTGAGCCAGAGTGAGACAAAGAAAAGTAGAAGAAAACGGCTTTAAGGATAAGGAGGCACCCAGGCAGGGGATACAGCTTGAGTGATGGATACCTCCCAAATGGGGAGGACACTCCAAAGCTATGGCTTCTTCTCCGCACATTACAGTTTGCTTTTCTTAATTTATACCGAATTGACTAATTGACTAATCACGCATGCTAATATGTCTTAAGTGTTACCATATTTCGGGCACTGGGCTATAGAAGCACACTTAGTCTCACTTAGTCATTTCTACGAGGTAGAATCCATTATTATCCTCATTTCACAGGTAAGGAAAATAGAACCTGTAGGAAACATGCAGGGTTTAGGCCCCTACCTAAAAAACAGCACAGGGGAGATTAGTGATCATGGGTCAGATGTCTTAAGGATCAATATTCTTAACCACTCTGCTACTCTCTCCCCATGCCTTCTTTCCAGTATGTCAAATGCTGCTACAAAGGTCACATTTTCTACCAAACCAAGAAAGTGTTTTCTCTTTCTTCAGCTCAGATAGTGATAAAAAAGTATGCAATAATGAAAGCATGTCTTCAACTTTACTCAAGGCATGTGTTCTAAGTGTTGCTGTGTACTGAGTCATTTCATTCTTCACATTATGACCAAGAGATAATTAACATTAATATTCTTGTTTTCCAGAAGAGGAACGGAGGTACATAGAGTCCAATTAACTTGTCGAAGGACACGTAGGTAAATGCTATTTACTGATCTGTGGGTTCCCAAGGGGGGTCCACAGGTGCAAACCTTTATTCCAGTTCTCGATGGTCAGTTCAAGGACATGTAACATGGTCTGAGAAAATGTGGGGGGAAAATCATTCTCTTCAATTCCTTGTCTAAGTTCTCATCTAGAACTTATCACAAACCTGATCAAGACAGACCTTTTCATCTCGAATGAGGTTGTGCTCCTCTGTAGAAACTTGGAAGCAAGTTTAAAAGCTGGTACTTTGGCCTTAAACAAAGAAATTTCTTGGTTTATTTAAATAACTTAAAGTGAATACTTTCTGTGTACTTGGTGGAATTCTCTAGGAGGAGAGGCCCCATTTGTTCAATCAGGCTCAGTTCAGCACTCTTATTTATTGCATCCAAGGAACATAAATACACTCCTGTGAGTTATAAAGGCTCACATCAGCCATGACTGTCCAACACCAGTGGGCGTCTTCCCTCTGGCCTTTGTGTGATCTAAGGAAAGCATTTAAGAATCCGAACAGAAAAAGGCTCAAATTATTATCCCGGAAAGCACCATAAGAGTCCGCACCATCAATGCTGGGCTAACACTGTTTTCATGATTTCCTACTACAGACACAAATTCTATTTTGATGTACCAGGATTTGGGGGGTCATGGAGAAGGTTTCTGATAAGTGGTACCTTTGAAACCTCGATCTACGTAATATCAGTTAGTGTAGAAACCAATAATGATCAAATTGCTTTCAAATAGCCAAGAGATGAACTGGACAGTGAACTCTTAGAAAGGAGAGCCAAAGGCCAGGGCACACAAATCATTACACAGATTTGCTCCACGGATATCAGCACCACTGGCCCAACTCATGGCTTCACATAAATGTGAGCTCAGGGTCAGGAAAATGAGTGCCCACGAGAAAGCACAGGGTCCCTTTCCACAGCTTTCCGCATGGCATTTTTAATCTCCTTATTCCTGAGACTGTAGATGATGGGGTTCAGCAAGGGGATCACCACAGCGTAGAACACGGACACCACTTTGTCTTGGTTCAGGGAGTAGCTGGAGCTGGGGCGCATGTACATGAAGAGACCTGAACCATAGAAGAGGATCACGGCGGTCAGGTGAGAGGCACAGGTGCTGAAGGCCTTGGTCCTACCTCTAGCTGAGCTGGTCCTCAGCACAGCAGCAACAATGAACCCATAAGAGATGAGGACCACAAGCACAGAGACCACACCAACAACAACACCCACAACAAAGGTCACCACCTGGCTGGTGAAGGTGTCAGAGCAGGACAGAGCCAAGACTGGAGGGAGGTCACAGAAGAAGTGGTTGATCACGTTGGGCCCGCAGAAATCATGCCGATAGACAGAGTACGTTTCAATCAGAGAGCTAAGGAAGCCCCCCATGTAGGCGCCAGTCACCATCCTTAAACACAGTGTGTGGGAGATGAGGGCCGTGTAGAGCAGCGGGCTGCAGATGGCGGCGTAGCGGTCGTAGGCCATGGCTGCCAGGAGAAAGCACTCGGTCAGCCCCATCCCGCAGAAGACGAAGTACTGGGTGGCACAGCCAAGGACGGAGATGGTTTTCTGCTCAGCGATGAGGTCGGAGAGCATCTTGGGGACTGTGGAGGACACGTAGCAGACATCCAAGAAGGACAGGTTACTGAGGAAGAAGTACATGGGTGTGTGGAGGTGGGAGTCCACCCTGATGAGGACGAGGAGACTCAGGTTCCAAGTGAAGGTCAGGAGGTAGATTCCCAGAAACAACACGAAAAGGAAGATCTTCAAGTGAGGATGATCTGAAAACCCCAGGAGGATAAATTTTGTCACCATTGTGTTGTTCCTCACCACAGCCATAGGCTCACTTCCTACTTAGAAAAATAAAGCCTGGTCAATTAGATCGTGTTTGTCATTTTGAGAACATAATCTTCCTGGAAGCTCAGTTAACACCCTCCTACAATCCTAGCCACTGTCTGAGCACCATCTTAGAGCAAGTCACCCTCAGCTGACCTCTTGGTACTTCTAAATCTGAGTGTTGTGTCCATCATGGACTAAAAGAGATTCCTGTAATGGAGTCGGAAGTAGCTAGGAGTTGGAAAACTGTGCCTTTGGAACTGCTTTGCCTTGATAAGGGCTGCTGAATGCCACTTCCCAAATATAAAATGAGAAGCTTGACTAGCACCATTCTAAGGGCCTCTTGGGATGGGATTTGGTAGAGACTTTTTTAGACTTTCTGAATTAAAAATAAAAATCATATTAAGATAAAAACAAAATTAGGCATTGTTATGCTTCATAAATCTTTAGGTCTTAAGGTAAAGGAATTAAGTGTAATGGGTTATCCTTGTTGACATAATTCAGCTTAGGAAAAGAAATCCAAACAGCCTACTAGTGCAGTCTGCCAAATTGTGAGACTAAGAAAAACTTGTACATTATATTTATGTTTATGTACATGCTTAAGACTAGAAAAAAATTGTAAATTTTTACCTAGAAAGGGAAAATTTTGGCCTAACCCAATCTACACACCTGGAATAGAAGCTTCTTACAGTGAATGGAAACTAGTCAAACCATGATGATCAGGAGCCAGTAGAAGTCAATATTTATTAGACAATAAGAGCCAAGGGAGAGACAGTTGTTAGATATTGAAAGACTGATTTGCAAAGAACAACTCTGATGACCAGATCAGATGATTCTGAAAACAGGAGGGAAAGCCCAGACACAGCTGGCAATTAAGAAAGACAGGCCTGGCCATGAAGTACCATCAAAATTTGGACAGACAAGCGGGTGTAAAAAGGCAGAAGTGGCTTGGGGAAGATCCACTGGTGATACTAAAATGTTGATATTTTGCCATTTGTGTGGAATTGGTTGGCCAGGTATGCCTGTAACCAGTTGTAACTCATCGTAACCAGCAGTAACTGTCCAACTGACTCTTCTGGTCACTCATCATAGTAAACGCTGCTTCTGGCTTTGTATATTTTAAACATTTCACATCTCCCTCCAAGTCCCTGACTGAGCTTCAAAATCAAGAGGAGCCAAGATGAAGCTTCACACTGGCATCAATGTATTTCTATCAAAAAAGGAATGAGACGAGTTTGGTATTTCTTATCTTAATGAAATCTTTCCAACAGGGTGTGCACCACCCCAGGAAGAGTCTCATCTGCTCTGTTCATAATCTGTCTGAATACCTACAATCCTGCCCAGGACATGAGCACCCAGTAAATATTTGCCTAATGAATCTTTTTTTTTTTTTTTTGCCTCTTATCTTCCGAGTTCAGCAAAATGCCAGGCTTATAAGGTATTACAATATTTGGTCTTTTGTTATCATAATAAAATATATAATAAGATATGATTGTGAACAATATTAACAATGTAATCATAAGTGCTTACTCAGTGTTTACTGTGTAACGGGCACTATTTGAAGGAATCCATTTATACAAACCCACTTAGTTAGCCCCACAGCCTCAGGAACTGGTAGTGTTACTCTGCCCCCTGAGCAGATAAAAGTTGGAATAGGCTGAAATTTTTACAGTTGTCATGTCCTGGATAAACGTGGTGGGGATAAGTAGGACTTACTGACTCAGTACAGGCAGAAGTGTCCTGGAATCCTGCGCCACAAGAGAAAAACTACCAGTTGCTTCGCTCCCATAACATTCTTTGCAGACTTCAGTTTGTCTGCCTTTTCTCCTTCTCTATGCCTGGTTTATGGTTCCATCAGCTGATTTTTTTATACACTGGCCTCAAATAAACAGTAACACCTGCCCCCGGAATCCCTGCCCCTTTGTTACCAAGTCTGGGGGTTCGTTATCGAAATGGGCAGAGGTAGCCACGCTCTCCCCCATAAAGATCTCCCTCCCTCTCTCTCCTTCTCCAGGTCCAATGTTAAAGCCCAGAAGTCACCACAGCTCCACATTCTGAGCACTGACTGCTCCCTGGAGTAATTGTGGGAAGGGCCAACCGCCCGGCATCACAGCCCTCTTTTCAGTCCCCTGCCTGTGGACCTCAAGAGGTTGGGTTAATTAACTACAAGGTGAAAAAGCCTTAGCCCAGTGCCTGCTGAACAGAAATCCCTCAATGGCTGGAAACTACTAGCGTCATTAACTCTGTCTCCCGGGTCATGGCCAGGAGGGTCTTTCCCTTCTCCCTGACTTTTCCTGTGACTCACGTGTATGGCACTGCACACAACTCACTCACTGTCCCCTTAATGTCTGACAGCACTGCCCCCACCTGGACGTGTCCCTGTGGACAGTGCAGTGGGCTCCTCAGAGCCCAGGCTCGCTTTCCCAGGGTCCTGGGGCTCTCAAGTCTGAAATATCAAGATTCCGATTCTCAGGGTTTTGCAGGGTTTTCTTTAGATATAAAGTTTCCAACAACAAAAGGAGAGTTAACTTGTTTCATGGAAATCGAGTTAGCAGCCCTTAGTCTGAAAATAAACACATAAATGGCGGCAATATCTTGTGTGTGGGGAACATAACTGCTGAGACCCTTGCTGTAAAAGGTATTAGGATTAAATTAGGGATGGAAAATTAATAACTGGGACCATAGAGATGAAAAGAGGCCAGTGACTCCCCTCATCAACTGTGACCCTGAGCCAGCAGAGAAGCCTTTAATCAGGAGAAGAATAAAGTGGCCCAGGAGACACGGGGCTGGGAGTCAAGCCCTCCAACTGTGAAAGAACTTTAATACACAGTTCAATTAAGATCTGGGAAATCTAAAAGTTAACCCACAATTATGATCTGGCAATAGATTTCATCCATCATACCAACTCTGACTTCACTGATAATGACTATGCAAAATAAGATGGAGCTCCTTTAAAGTGTATATATATATATATATATATATATTTTAGTGGAAATGTCCAAAGAGTGAAGAACAAACTATAAATTGGCAATGTGTGTCAGAAAGGAAAAGGGAGAGCACAAACTTGCAATGCATTTGTCAAACCATCCTACAGGAAATTTGAGGATGAGGTAGAAAGTCACCCTACTAAATCTACCTGGATAAAATCATAAACTTTGTAAATGCCTTTGCTTTAAAGACTCAAACACGAAAGCCAGATATAGTGATGCACACCTATAATCCCAGTCCTTGGGAGGCTGAGGCAGGAAGATCGTGAGCTCAAGTCCAGTCAGGCCTATGCAGCAAGTTCCAGGGCAAGCTGGATTACAAAGCAAGGCCTTGTCTCGAATTTAGAAAAACTTAAAGGCAGAATTAATTTGATTAAAGTGAACATCAAAAATTATCAAAACAGATATGTCACACAGCAATGTGAATATACTTGCCATCATCCAAATGTACCCTAAAATGTTTAAGATGGTGTCACCATTAATACTAGGTGTCAGTCTGATTGGATTAAAGAATGTCTACCTAGCTGGAGAAGTGTGGTTTCCGGGTGTGTCGTGTGTGTGTGTGTGTGTGTGTGTGTGAGAGAGAGAGAGAGAGAGAGAGAGAGAGAGAGAGAGAGAGAGAGAGAGAGGCAGGCATTTGAGTCTGTAAGCTGAGTCAGGAAGCTCTCCTCACCCGGTGTGGGTGGTCACCATCCAGTCTGCGAGGGCCCAGAACGACGGAAAGGCAGGAGATGGGCTGACCAGGGGAGGCTGGATCTGGACCATCTGTCCTCTCCTGCCTGTGGCCACTGGGGCTCTAGGTTTCTACCCTCTGGGCCTTGCACTCTCAGACCCCTGGGTGCTCGGGCCTCCCCTCAGGCGGAGTCCACTGTCGGTCCTGGTTCTGGGGCCACTGTGCTTGGACTGAACTGGGCTCCAGCTCTCTGTGAGCCAGTTGCCCTCACCCAGCCTCCCCTATCCACCCTCATCCTATTGGTTCTGTCTTTCCAGAGAATCCTGACTAATAAATGTAGTTACTTTCACATTGTGTGGCTTTGTCACAATATAAGGTAGCAAAGAAAATAGCAAAAAAAGGCAAACAGATTCCATACAGAATTAAATATTTAGAAGTAGAAGCCAGTGTTTGGAAATCAAATTCAAAATTTATCTCGCTAGGATCTGATACCCCTTGGAGTCTGTTCTCTGACAGATTCGTCTAAAAGAGTATTTATTTTTTAAACAAACATGATTTGTTCGTTTGATATTTGAGGATAGATATTTTAATGACTTTGTTTGAATTATTTCTGAAGTAAAATCCAGAAGAAAACCCAGAGGTGCTTAGCAGTAAAATGCTGCCTTGTTCTCCACTGGAGTCTGAAAGTCGTCTCAATTTCTATTTCTTCCACTAGCAACCACTACAAACTTCAGCCTGATATAGATCTAAAGTCCTTCACCAGGCATCCTAATAAATCCAGGATAAAGGTGAGCATAAAAGTTGTAGAGATCTTTAAAAATATAGGCAAGGGGAAAAGCACATAGAAATAGGACCTGAATTTCTATTCCCGTTCAGGGAAATTGGGCTATTGATCTCTATGGGCCTCAGTTCCTTTACCCTGACACTGACTAACCAAAGTAAAAAAGAAAGCTCTAAAAACCCTAACAGCTTGATTATATCTAAGATAACCACGTTAACAAGCCAATGTCTGCCTAGAAGCTGACTAGCTTGGGCCCCTGTGGGACGCTGCTGCCGCCTATCGGAAGTGAGCCTACATTGTTCGTCAGATAAGAGCGGACCTTCCTGGACCCAGGAGAAGCCCAGGGTTTGTCAATGATAGATCAATCTCAAAACCCCTGCATACCCCGTGCTCCAAGCGCCTACCAGGTGCCCCTCAAACACCTGAACTAAACACTACTGTGAAGTTGTTTTCTGAAATAGACCTCAGACCAAGGAGATAAGCAACTTCCTGAGCATCACATAAATGTAGCAAGAATAAGAAAGTAGATTTGTGTTCTTTAGTTTAGTTTCATACCGCAGTG